TGAACTGCAGATAACAGTCAGCTGAAGTGGCCTGCAGTACTGCACCCTAACCACTGCGCCACCTCGGCATTTTGCCTACTGCAAAATTCTACCTCTTCTCCCATAAGTAGGAAACTTTAATCCATTATTAGTGTTTAATATTTTTTCCATTTATTTTTTCAATTTCTATTATCTTAGACCTACAGTATTTCTATTACCCAAAATGCAAAAGGATCTTATAGATCTATTTTATGCGTAATGAAAATTAGATTAAACAGCAATTCAGAGATTTACTGCTTCAAATTGAGCAGCATCTGCCTAATTATCTATCTATCTACTAAAATCACAGTTTTCTGCAACTTTAAAAACTATTCAAGAAAAACATTATAATTCCCTCTCATACTTCCACATTGAAATTCTCAGGGAAGTTCCAAGTTTTTTCTGCTTATTCATCAGTCCAATCTTCTTTATTATTGTCCTAAACTTTCAGTTCAAATTCATGTTCCAAGTTTTTAATCTGTGCCTTCCTGCTTGCAGAACATCATCCTATAGTAAATGTGCTGTTTTCCTTTTAATAATATATCAATTATTGTGGAGAAAAAATAGTTATGAACTTCAAGTAAAAGAAATTAGGCAAACTTACCGTTACACCAAAGAAGCTGGTCTGATTCATTGCATCCAAGAAAATCTTTCCAAGTTCTTTGTTGGTATAGTTAAAGTCTTCAATTTTTTGGTTTCTGTTGGTGGCATTAAGAATCTTCATTGCCTGCTGCAGTGTTTTGGCAATTACCCATATTCCATCATAAGCAAAGCCATGGAACTTACTTGGCTCAACATTTCCACGCCTTTGGTCATATTCCTCTTCATATTGCTGTGGCGTCTATAGAAAGAATGTGAAAAGTGATTCACTTTTAATATACTAAAAGTCTATATATGTTTTGAGTCTGAAGTGAAATTACAATTAAAATCTTTGCAAGTTCTTTGAAGTTATATGAATCTCAAGAAAGATAATTAAGGGGGGAAATACAAGGTGGAGGAAATGCAATATTTTATTATTTATACAAATGCACTATTTTACTATTTTATATGGTAGCACCAAATGCATACTTATAAATCGTTACACTCCAGACTTAACAGAGGGGCTAAAATATACAAGAGAGAAGAGATGGGATTAGGGAAATACATGTGTGCATTTTAGGTTTAGTTATATTATGATATTGGAACTAAAAGGGTGAATTTTGTATAAGATACTTGTAAGTGTTTTTCACTAGTGCCAAAAAACAGGGTATTATTCTCTTTGCCCAAGATTCAGTTCATAATTAAGCATTTTATTATGTATGAGTAAATTTTCAAATATATTTTTAAGAATTTTTTCTTTTTTAAAGCTGGTAAAGACATCTGTCTGAGTTAAGACAGATTTACACAGTCAAATATCCCATATTCATCTAAAATAGCCAGCTACTCGTGCAGATTCAAATGTCTAGTTTTCATCCTCATCACATTTATAAAATAAAATTGCTTTCAGAGCTGGTTTAGACATTATATCTCATGGAATAGTTGCATAGTAATTCATGAGATCAAACTGCAGTAAAACAATGTGCTGCTAATAACAATAAAAAGTAGCAGTATATATGAGCAAAGCTTTATATTTTGGCTTTCTTACTTTGCAGTGTTATCACAGAATTTTCTGTGATTTGCTTTTACCCTTAAATGTACCCCAAATTACACATAGAATAAATTATATGTTCCAGATTTTAAAGGGAGCCTGAGCAAGAAATTCAAAATAATTACAGCCTGATTTCCTTAATAAAAGTCAGGACAGGGAGAAATTTGGGAAGATTTTTAAGAGGCTGTTATTATACCCTACAACAATAGTCTAGCGTTTCTAGAATATTTTTGATGTACATGTATTGACCTGGGATACTTCAAAGAGTGGAAACTGTTGTGGCCCAGCAGGAGCCGTTGGAGCTGCTACCAGACTCCGACAGCGAGGGGCCCTATGAGTCGGCTTTGGAAGAGGTGGAGGACCCTGGACAGGGTTCCAACTCCGAGCAGGGCGCAGAGAGGCTGGTTGACCACCAGGAGGCGCCTGAGCCTTGGACCAGTGGAGAGGAGATAAGGGAGAGTGAGCTGGAGTGAGTTGTTCCTGGATGCACGCCATTGAAGAGCTAATAGGCGTCAGGAACAGTTGCGCAGTTACAGGAGGTAATTGCACT